TTACAAAAGTGAGCAGTGCTCACCCAAGCACGAATTGTTTTCAAACTTGTTGGTGTCATATGAAAGTTGAGTTTATGAGCTTTCCATACATATAAAACTTTTTCCCCTAGAATCATATATTTGTTATTCGGCAGCCATTTCAAAAGTGTATAATTTTTTCGGGACACACTGTATAGCAGCTATTTCTTAGATCAACAACATTTAGAGGTAACGAGTCGAAAATGATATATCATACTCACTGTTTGCCGAGATCCTGCTAGACGCGAAATGAATCGTGAAATGAGGCGTCGAGCCCTCTCCTCAGAAATATTTATCCAATAATAGCCGAGCTAAAATAACTCAAACATAAGCTTACACAATAAAATAAAAGTAACTGGCAACAAATGTGACATGAGAGGTCTCTTCTAGGACGTGTTATAAAGGCGTTTACAATGTCTCTTTCGCAAGATGAGAGCAGAGTTTGCCTCTGTGTTATGAATCTGGATTGACAGATGCCAAAACATGCAGTGTGTCGAGGAAAATGATCTAGAATCAGTCTCATAATTCCCTAGGCGAAAATGTGATTCGTTCCATCAGATTTCATGTAGAAGTGACGGATAACCCGTATGAAATGAAAAACATAGACTGTGTGAGTCCGTATTTCACAGTCTGGTGACATTGAGCAGGTACCTGATGCAAAGCAGTCGAGCCATATGGTCCAAAAACAAAACAATGGGAACTAGACTAGAGCTAGCAAAACCACACAAAGGAATCATATCTTTTGATCAATGAGTCGGTCCTACCCCTGTAAATATCCCCTAGGACAATTAACCCACCCTCTCCCACAACCCTCCCCCTCCTGTTCATTAAAGGGGAAGTCCACCCTGATAATAATTTGGTTTTAAAAAAGGCTGTTTTTTTTTTTTTTTTTTTTAGGGGGGGGGGGGGGGTTAATTGTTCTTGGGTGATGATTGTCCAAGGGGGTAAATTTGCCAGAGGGAGGGGGTTATTGTCCATGGGGGGGGGGGGTATTTTTTCTCGAGGGGTAATTTTCAGGAGTTGTTTTTCGGGGGGAATTTTCATTGAGGGTTAAATGTTCCGCTGGTAAAATTGATCGGGGTAATTGCCCGGGGGTAATTGTTCTAGAACCGTTTTGCGTCTATGCGTTATATCATGTTTTCTTGTTTTCGTATGTGTTTTGTATTTCATTCGTTTATTCTGTCTGTCTCTCTCTCTCTCTCTCTCTCTCTTTCTCCTCCCCCTCTACCCCCCCCTCTCTCTCTCTCTCTTTCTCTCTCTCTCTCTTGGTCCGTCTCTATCTTTCACCGTCTACTTACACCACGTCCTTTTTTCCTCCTCACACTCTCCATTTCTATGAAAATCGCTTTTCCCTCTTTCTTTCTTCATGTTGCCTACCCCTTAACCGACTTATTCCAGTTAACGTGAATACAGCTATGAGGCGATACTTCGAAATGCAAATGGCTTTCATAATTATTCTTTACATCACAACTGCAACAAACATATAAAATATATATACCCACGGATCCATTAGGTCTAAGGCCTAACCAAATTAGTTGCTTATCAGATGATAAAGCAATAACTTACATCAAATGACATGCATCTAAGCCTTACTGCTTAGATAAATACATATAATCGTTGTCTCTACAATTACTGATGAGAGAGTGACAAACATTTGTTGTTCTTACAACAAATTCCATATTATGCAAGTCCTCCTGCTAGTCATATACGTCTTCTATGTTTCACTTTACATGCAATCATGTGCACTCTCAGATGTATTTGCAAAATAAATTCAGATATAAAGAACGTGTATAGAAAGACGTGAATATAAAATGCAAAGTGATTCATTGGCTGAGAACAATATATATGTACATGTTTATTTACATAGTCAACACATTCCGGATATCAATAATACGTTACAGATGTCCTGCAAGTCCATGCACATTGGAAATGTATCAAAGATAAATTCATTGGCTTTCAGATGATTCCAGAATTTCTCAAGGTGATCAAACAGCCTCTTACGAAGAGCAATTTTTTTCAATTCAGCTCGAACAAAGAGAATACACCTCCCACAACGTAATGTACATTGGCATTGCAAGATTCCACTTCACTTACCCTCATTCAGGTGTACTACACACAAACTGTCAAAATCATTACAACACAGGCATTAATGCAATTGATTTTTTCAATATGATGGAAAGAAATCTATAAACGGCTATCAAATTATAAGACGTCATTGAAAAAAACACTGCACAGAAGCGATGGAAGTTTACAATAAAACTTGAAAGAAATTGTCATTTTAAAAGATTGGAAATTTATATGGTATTCCGTTGGTCTGTGTCCTATTCAGATCGACTGATCATAGAAAAAACATAACTGAATAATACGACAATAATCCTGTAAATAGAGAGACGTTCCGTCTCTCCTTGCACCGGGTAACGGGCATAGTTAAATTTTGATGAGATCCCCAATGGTTTACGTGTAAAAAGGTTCTTCGTGCGAGCGCAGATACCATAGAGTGTGTGTGCGATTCCGGAGGATCGTAACATTCAGGCAACTTTCCAGCGAATATTAACACACAGTGTCTCAGATTATATGTGATGTTTTAACCAATAATAGGATCAAATGTGCGTTAGATCATGCTATGACCCCGAGAGCCAGTATAAGAACAGCCATGCCTCGGAAAGCAGTCCAAATATCTTTTATATACCAAATTCACAAAATAGTCTACAAAGAATTCTTGCCTTATTATCCTTTTCTAATAAGAAAAGGATAATAAGGCAAGAATTCTTTGTAGACTATTTTGTGAATTTGGTATATAAAAGATATTTGGACTGCTTTCCGAGGCATGGCTGTTCTTATACTGGCTCTCGGGGTCATAGCATGATCTAACGCACATTTGATCCTATATTAACAGCTATGCCTCTCATAGCAGTCAATATATCTATATTATATTTCCACATGACTGAACAGCCCCCCCCCACAGAATGAACCCAACTCTAAAATAAATCATATAAGAATTAAGTAGGCTATTTACAGGTAGGTACTATATTCTATCATGTTTATGTACATCTTATCAACAAATGAGAAAGTTCACAACCTAATTGTAACTTTTAGAATTAGAAAAAAACAATGCAATAATTTATTCTATACAGCAAGAATTTATTGGAAAGGGTGTAAATAAGACAAAAGTTCTACGTCGAGTAAATACATTCTACACATAAATTACTTTACCCGTAGTTCATGATGTAGAACCTGGTATACAGAACAGCTCTATTGAATTGGTACAGAATACTTGTATCGGTGTGATGAAGAATATATCAACAGATCCTTATGGATTAGATGCTTGATGACCTTGTAATGAGAGTACAGTGCATTAATTATATCACCATCATTACAATATAGCCGATATGAGTACAAACGCATGAATACTATTAAACAATCAATAGAGAGTTTATCTTTTTCTCAAATTAAATTCGGTTCATTTTATATTTCACATTTCACGTTACTCATTGCTAGTCTTATTTACAAGAAATGTAATAATAGTAAAAATACATACGCATTTTGAATACTTGCAGGTTCATAACATATATCAAACCACTTTGATTTACTTGTAGTTACATGTACTTGTAAATTAAGAACTTATAGTAAAATTAGAAAGGATGAAACGAAGGAGCCTAATACGTTATAACATAGATTGTTGGTTGTAAGCTGTATGTTTTATGCTCTACGTTGTCTGGCATAGATTATTTAAACATTATAACCCATCCAATGGTTATCATATTTACATCAAATGGCATTACATGACGATGTTAAATGGGGGGGGGGGGGGGGTGGGGTCACAAGGCGCCTCATTCTCTTTCTCTCTCTCTCTCTCTCTCTCTATCTCTCTCTATCTATATGATGTGATTGCAGAAATGTTTTGATCAGATCAAAGTACTTTCGAAGAGGCTGCAGAGAATTTAAGAACTCGCCCTTAAAATAAATCCACATTCTACATATACTTCAGAGTGTAAAGATAATAATTAATTAACAATTTAAAGTCGGGGCATAATCAATTTTTATCGTAGATATCATGTTACTATCCATTTTAACACGAAAATACTTCAATTAGCATATTTAGCATTACCAATTATTCAGTTAGCTAAGTTTCATTTTCAAATCCACAGTAGTCTGCGTGCTCTGTCGAGGGTGATCTTCCAATGTGTTCCAATGTTCAATACGTTGTTGCTTTACAACATCTATGATTTTGGAAACATTAAGGATAAAACAAATCATTCAAACTTAAACAAAACTATGTTTAAATGAAAAGAAGGTACCATTCATCCAACTTAATGCATCATTGCTTCATGAAATATTACCTGTTTCAATTACAGATCTATACATTACGGTATATACTCGTATATTCAAACTTTATGGAAATTGCCAGTAGAGTTTCTGTTTGGTAAGATCCATGCTACATGATCATTTGAAACCTTTCTTTAATTATACCTATAAATAAGAAAAGGGACATTTTCCATCTTTTCATGAGATATTAAAATCATATCGCTTAAAAACGGAGGACGAAGTACAATGAGCGTATTTGCCTTATACTTGTACATGAATTAAAAGTAATTTTTCACCAAATAAGTTCATCTATTTGTGCAGAGTTTTTTTTCTACATGTTTGTTATATTTAAGTTTCCGAAAATCATTACACGAATTAAGAAAAAACCTATTGGTAGACGTGGTCATTTTAATCAGACCCCAATTGACACATAACAGACAGCTTAAATTATGTGTATATAGTTTAAATCTTGGGTAACGATTGGGCGGAGCTCAATATGGATACCTAAAAAACTACCCTACTTTGAAAGGATGAAATTTAAGAAAGGGGAAGAAGAATTAAACAAAGGATTGGCATGTACAATATTGTTATATCTTACCACACCATACGTTACGGTGACAGTCAGCTTGCCTTCACTGTTTAACTCCGAAATTAATGGACCTAGATGCGGATTGGTGTCACACGTATCCAACCTATAGTAATAAAACAGTGCATTTGGAGAAAAACTATACATGATCTTCTAAACGAGACAAACCTGACATACAATACTCTTTTAACAAACTATGTGGGATTATATTGTGGTGTATGGTATGTGGTGTGAGAATAGATGACAATTACACATCCGGCATTCCATGATATTTTTCTGTATTTATATTGCATGTATGTAAACCATGGTATCATAACTGTGTTTGTAGGTAACAGCAAATCTATGAACTTCATGATGAATACATAAATAAATTACTTGATTTTGATTTATATTAAATTGGTATGAATAAATCCTGAAATGAAGAGATCGCCAGATTACGTGCTCTGGCAGGTCTAACTGCAAGACGGTTTGGATTGAGTTTTGGTGCATGGATTTGGAGAGACTATATCATGTTTTCTGTCTGTATTTTGGTTCTCACTGTGCTTCATACTCGTTAAGGCCATTGTTTTTAATAAAGCAGTGTGACTCATTTTCTACCCAATATATACTCGTATATTCAACCTCATGAATTAATTGATGTAAAAAGTATGTTTAATTTATCTGCTTTGTGCCACTGTGCTGAATTCACTTTTGCTAAAACGTATGGTACATGATTATTACAAACATGTCTTCAATTCGAACTATAGATAAGATAAGGAAATTTTCCATCTTGTGATAAGATATCTTTTTTTTTAAAGAGTGTCGAAGTACAATGAGCATTTTTGCCTTTGAAAAACATCATGAACATAAGAGAAAAGTGCCTTTTCACTATAATTGCTCTTATAGTTGTAAAAAGTCACTCTCTTTATGTTTGTTATTTCTCAGATTCCGGAAATCATTACACAGAGCAAGAACTGGGTTATTTTAATCAGGCGAGAATAAACTTATAAAAGGTAGCTTCAATACAAAATAAATATGTGTAATATTTCTTTCTTGGGTACCGATTGAATGGAGTTGAATATCGATAACAAACAAATACAAGAATACTTTTAAATGATGGAATGCAAGAAAGAGGAAGAAGGAACAATCGGAGGATGGGCATGTAATCTAATGTTATATCTTACCCTGCCATGCTTTACGATGACAGTCAGCTTGCCTTCACCGTTCACCTCAGAAATCAGTGGATCCAGATCCACGTCGGTACCACACTCTTCCAACCTATAGTAATAAAACAGTACATTTCGGGGTAGAATACGTGATCTTCAGAACAAACCTGACGTACGATACTCTTTTAAAACCCATCAGATATGTTTGCTTTGTGGTGTGAGAATAGAGGAAATGTCAATAAACATCAGACCTTGCATAATATTGCTCTGTATCTATATTGCAGGATTGCAAACCATGGTGTCGATGTTGTGTAAGGTAGGATACATCAAATCTATTAACATCATGATGCATGAAAACAATTGGATTTGAATTTATCTTAAGAAAATGTGATTGGACAATAAAAATAAATTATAATATACTGAGATCATCAAATTATGTAAAGTTTTGTAATATGCCTTATACAGCAGTCCATTATCTAATCTTTAAGACATCCTACTCATGTATGCACAATATTATCCATCTGAAATTCATTCCAATCTTTATTATTATTAGGTATTAAGTAACTTTACCTCTGATTCTAAACAAAATCCTGAATTTAGTTCATGCTGCAATCATAACTATTAACCTTTAGGTCAGAAATGAAGCCCATGAATTTTACAAGCCAATCACTTGCTTGATTATAAAGATATTTTTTAATTGAAATATGCAATTTCAAAACCATTTTCCCGACGATTTGTCCTAAGACTACAGTCTATTGGGAAAAATGAGTATGGTAAAAAGAGTCACTCAAAGATTTTTACTTTTTTGAAGCATTTCATGATCATTTGGAAGCGCAATTAATTTATTAAGGGCTTCAATATCACACCATATCACAGACACTGATAAAACGTAGGGCCATGCATCTCAGATTTGTAAAGCTGGAAGCATTGTTAAAGAATGTGTCCTTAATTGTATGCCTCATGTTTGTGTAGTCCCATATACATCTTTCTGTGTACAGTGCTTGTTAGTTTTACCAAGACTGGGCCCAATTTCTTATAGTTTTATGATTCCAGAACCTTGCAATTCCACACCGTTTCTATCAGAATATAATCGCATGACCAGAGTTTAACTTTATCTTTAATTGCCTCCATGCAGGTCCACTTTTATAACAATTAATGTATTGGAGGTTATGTTTTGGGGGTAGTCGAGTATTGGGGAATAACTTTCTGATCCAAATTGCAAATATTTAGCCATCATTAATGTACAAAAATTACAACTTTCCATTCTAGTAGCCGGAAATGAAAACTTAATTTGTGTATTAAGCATTAATTAATATTTTTATCCATCTTGAAATATATTTATTTTGTTCTGTATGACAATGCAAACCTCCGTAACATTTCTTGAATTGATTCAAGAAGGAGCTTAGATGGCAAGTTATGCAAACTAGAAATGTTGATTTATCTCTGATGGAACCTTATTTGCATATTTTGCAAACATCAATCGAAATGTTGATTAAAAAACGTGTACACGAACGTGTAAGGCAATGAATAATTTGAATAATTCGCATGCTAGTCAATTTTAACTGCTTTCCGCTACTTCACTGAAATGGAATAAATTCTTTGGCAACTTCTTACTTTTAGGTAAATTATTATTTTGAAAAAGAGAAAGCTAGTAAGGAGAGAAAGAAAATTAATCAGAAGAGAGGACAGAGAGAGAGAGAGAGAGAGAGAGGGATACGGATAAGAATAACGAAGAGGAAAAAAGATCACAGTTAAAGGTAACTAGTGTACCATTCCACAATGTGTACAACTCTAATGAGACTCACCTTATGCTTGATAGGTGTGGATGATCATCCAACTCATGGATGATCTCGGCTACCTTCTCGTTGTTTAGTCTAATGTTGGTAATGGACAGCTCGGTGAGTCGAGGGCATGATGTTATCACCGCCTTGCAAAATGACACGGGATCATCTAGTGTAGATGTGGCACTATGCGGGTCTCCCTGGATGTGAAGGTGAATTAGATGATGGAACGGAGAGCATGCCATCATAATGATATCTGATGAGACATTCTCCCGTCTCGACCAGTTCAGTTTGAGGGTTTTCACTCGGGGACATGATGTATTGAGTCCAAGATTCCACAGGATGGTCACATGCTTACTATCCACAGATAGCTCATATACTGCGGTTGTTTGACCAGTCTACAGGAAACAACATCGATACAAAAAAGATCGATCACTATATAAACTATGTATGAAAACCAGCACTAATGTAAGAAAAGATATTAAATATACTGACTAATTATTGTTTTGATTTGATATGATTTTATTTATTTATTTATTATTATTATTTTTATTTTTTTTGCAGTTTTACAAATATATACAAAACAAAATTTAACAAATCATTGCAAATTTGACACATTGCAAAAGAGTAAAGGCCTAAATTGAATAAAGTAAGGCTGGCTGTGAATGATCAAAAACATCAAACAGGAGTGTTGACAAAGTAAGCAAAGCTTGATAGCATGACTACCCTGTATGGATACATACTAATTTTACTGTTCATATAATGAAGGGTAAATATTTCACAAATATACAGTAATATAACTAAAAATGTTTTAAGTTGCCCTGGGAAGAAACAAACAAACGGGTACAGGTTTGTGGCAATTGGGACGAAGAATACAGCTGCTTTTAACCCTTTGGATACCGACATTATAAATGATATAGAGAATCTTCCATTGGCAATATAGCCATATGCGATACCTTTCAGGACGAATTGTAACCCATTTTTCCTCCAAAATATAAAAAATACCAATTTATTTTCAATTTCAGTGATCCGGCAGATTATGCTTATTTGGGCGATTCTGTTCAAGCTGGCTCAATTATGATCTCTTATTCTTGTATGTTATTGTATGTTGGAAGCTTAGCGAGAAAAAAAATCAATCAACCAATCAATCAACCATACACGTGTAATGCCTTCCATTAAAAATAAAGGTTAGTCTATCATAATACTTTACATAAGGGGGAACTTTCAATATTTTGAATACCAAAAATAGAGGGTTTCCCGCAGTAAGATGTAACATATCATGATCGCATTGCCAATACGAGTTTTACTATATCTTTAACATTATCGACATTCACAATTCCGTTTTTATTCTTTGTCCGCCTGTTTGTATACTTTGTTAAAATGTTTCTTATTTTGTCCGTTTTCACCGAAACGACCAATGCCAAATTCTGAATGAGGATCAATCCTTCTTTTTTCCTGGAAGAGGACGGGATTGTAGTACTAATTCTTATATTTTTTATTGTGATATTCGTTCAGCCAGTTTAAAACAAAAAAATGTTCAACTGATTTTACATTACGGAACGTTAGACATTTGATGAAGAAGAACATAAGCAAAACCATCTGTATACAAAATAGCAAACGGCAATCATTCATCAATCGACATTTAACAAGCTTTGACAAAATGTGTATCCTGGTTAAATTTCATCTAAATTGAAAAAACTAAGAATATGCATGTATAGACGTTTGACATATAAAATCATCCATTGATTTAACGAACATCCCGTAGTATGTAGTTTTAATTTGATTTCAAAGCAAAATACATTATCCTTTTGGCAATTCCATTGTCATTCATATTTAGTATTTTTGGTTTTTCTGAACCCCTTCCTTTTGAGTTTCGAAAAAAGAGGATTTTAACTTCAAACTTTGAATAGTAAAGATACATACCAGTGTCTCTCTATCGTCCGTGTCAACTCGTCTGATTTTGCTCAAGCTGAGTGATTGGAGGCATGGTAGCGCGAGGATGGAGTGTAGTCTTCGTGGAGTCATCATGGAAACACCCGCAATACTCAACGTCTCGATCTGTGCCAAGATAATGTATCAGTATACAAAAGAGGTAAATCCGCAACGATGTGATCCAATCATTGTTTTTTTACTAAGTTAAACATAAACACCTCTTTTAATCATAGCTAAAATCAGATGTATCTGCATCACATTAACTCATTCACTTTAAGTCTTATTATTTCGCCTCCATTTCCACTATAGTTCAAATGAATAAACATATTTTAATTATTTAAAAAAAAAAGCGTGGCCTGATATAAATTATGTCCATAGACACCATAGGCAGGCACGCAAATTTCCATATTCTCGAGCGTCATGTAAAGATTTGGGCCCCTTCTTAAGAGAGTTTATATTTATCGCAACTTACTTGCGACAAATATCAATCACAACTATCTACATAAGATATAGGGAACTACAAACTTGCGATTGATCCAAATCAATCGCAACTGTTTGTACGACGGGGAACATAAACATCATAATATTCATGGCTTCATATATTATTTATCTAGTGTTACAAATTATTCATTAAGGAATGCATTTAAAGTATTTTACAATTATTATTTTTAAATTGACTTTATACATCAATAATACAATCAATAAATCAAAGAATCAAACACCTCGGTATATTGTTTGAATATTTATAGTAAGCCGATCAAAATCCAACATTTTTAATTGACCCCATATTAATGAAAAGCCGTCTGTCTATAGTCAAAAATTATAATAATATCGCAATCGCAAATAATTTTTTTTTTAAAATGTAGGAATCATCATCAGGTTAAATATCTTATTGTTCCCTTGGTTGGTTCTAACATATTTGTCATATTGTTATTTAGTTTGGGGGAGTACATATCAAAGAAGTCTTAGTAAACTAAACTCATGAATTGGGGGCGCTATGATGCAAATCTGATATACAGTACCTACAAGGCCCCTCAAAACACGCTGTAGTAAATACTGAGATAGAGAGTGAGAGAGGTAGAGAGAGAGAGAGAGAGAGTGAGAGTAAACTAAGGGCCATGACTCTTGAAAGAATAGAGAAAGGCGAGATAACGAAGGACAAACTAATGTCTCACATATACGGTAGTAGAATAAGTGCCTGCTAAAGCGAAATAAAATATTAAATCATCTCTATACTGTATATGGCATAATATGCTAGGGACTATTGACAATATATTTTTTTCAAAAAGAAGCACACTACTTTGTACATAATATGCGCTTAAAACATTCTTTTAAAAACATCTATATCTGTTATTCATTACGGCACTAAGGCCATAGTCTACTCACACGATTCGTTTTCCTTTTTTTTTACATGGTCAAACTATCATATTGATATGAGAGTGCTCGTAACAGATGAAAATAAGTGATGTCTTTCAAAAAAGTGTGAAAAAACAGTTACCCCAGTTGAGTTTGAAGAATGCAAAACAGTTGGCAAAAAATCGTTTCCAATAAAAATCGTGTTCGGTATACCTTTGATTCTGACGCCTCAGAGGCCATCGTTGAGTAGAACTCATCACTCAGCTTCACATCGTACAGCTTCAGTGATCGAAGATTGGGCATGAAGCAGAGACCTCTCGCGTAGTGTGAGGATGTGGCAGAACGCAAATGCAAATGTAAATGCGTTAGCTCTTCAATCTGGTGACAGGACAGGTTGAATAAAGCGAATAGTAATATCAAGTATAGACGACATGTATAATTTAAATATTTGTTCATTGTCATTGATGTAACATCATTAACTTCTACTTAGAATTTTACATGAGAGAGAGAGAAAGAGGAAATTGAGACACAGAGAGAGAGACAGAAAGAGACATAGAAATAGAGATGGAGAGAGAACAAATCCCACAATGGAGCAAAGAGCAAAGAGCAAGAGCAACTAAAAGCGAAATGAAGAAATACTAACAAATTTGATTAATTACAAATGGAAACGAGAGATCCCGTCAGTTCGAACAGAGTAAAAGTGTATATCTTTTTATTTCTACTGTTAGTATATGTAATATCTTGTTGGGACTATTGATAGCAAACTATGACAAAACTATAAAACAGGCTATTATGAATCAGTATCATAATGACACTAAAATCCAGTCTTTTCACATAATCAAGCGCGCCGGAAGCAGTTTGGGATTGGGGGGCAAACATTCCAGGGGGCTCACCTTCCAGGGGCAGTGACGTAACGAGCAAAAACGTTTGGAAGGGAGGGGGCAGAAGAAAAATCTGCATCACCATCACTCTTATACGTTACATGCAGGCCCCGCGGAACATTTTTCAAAGTAGATTACTAACGATCAGGTAAAGCGTAAATTGGCGTGAGGTCGAGGGCCTGAGCCCCGGCAGGGGGTCAAGGGGCTGAACCCCCAGAAGCTTAGGGGTTTTAGGCATTAAAATTATGGTCAGATAAGCAAATTTAGATACCTTATTTGTGACACTGGAAGGCCACTAGTTTGCGGAGAGTCCAGGGAGCAGAGCCCCCGGAAGCTCGGGGTTTTTAGGTATTTAATAACGGTCAGATGGGCATACAGGGGACTGCCTTAGGGCCCCTGGCGGGGTCCGGGGGCGGAGCCCCCGTAAGCTCTGGGGTTTTAGGCATTAATTACGGTCAGATGAGCATATTTTGATACCTCATTTGTGACATTGGCAGGACACTTATTTTTTTCTCTCTCTTTCTTTCTTTTTCTCTGTAACAAACTTTTTCAAAAAGTGAGGGGGGCTCGAGCCCCCGAGCTCGGCCGTTCTGCAGACCCTGACATAAAGGCTTCTAAATAAGCATATTTTTCGCCCGACTGTAAATTTGGGAATTTCTTATTTTCCAACAAACGCATAAAAAGGTATGACTTACAAAAAAATATAGAAAAAATACCGGGAAAAAATCATATCATTTCAGCAACATTCGTAAATCACTGGTATCGAATAACAAATACCCCCATCAGTACGCCAGTGTTCAGGGGCTCATGAGCTTCTCACCCCTTTAACAAAAAACAGACACGCTTTCTCATTCTCTCACAATATGTCCACGATATGCGTGTATCGCTATTATAAAAACCTCCATTGATAAATATAGGTAGCATGCGCAATGTTTAGGAAATATAATTCATGTTAACCTTCCTTTTCTTTGAATAGAATTTTATACGTCATTTAATTCAGGTTTTTATTATTGTTATGTTCTTTTGGGTTAAAAATACAAACCATCTTTACTCCTTTACTGCTTTTTTTTTTTAGGGGGGGGGGGGGGGTGGCGTTTCGGGAGGGCAAAAATGCGTTTTGCCCCCCACTTTTTTTGGTTGGGGGGGGGGGGGGGAAGGGCAACTGCCCCTGCCCCCCCCCCCCCCCCCCCCCCCCCCCCCCACTTCCGGCGCCTATGCACATGATTCACATGATGGTCAGACTTTATGAGCGTGATTGCGAGTTATGACAATGCGAGCATACAGTTAACCACATATATTCAGTCTGAAGAATGCTAAAATATTTAGGGAAAAAATAATATCCAATACAAATTGAGTTTGGGTATACCTTTGACGTTGAGGCCTCAGAGTCCATCGTTGAGTAGAACTCATCACTCAGCTTTACACTGTACAGTCCCAATGATCGAAGATTTGGCATGGAGCAGAGGCCTCTCGCGTAATGAGAGGATGCAGCAGATCCTAGATCCGCGTTCTTGTGAGTTAGCTCTTCAATCTATTGGAGTGACAGGACAGGTTGAATAAAGTGAATGCTAATAGGGACTTTTAGATTTGCGTGGACTGATACGTGTGACGTCCATTCACGTCAGTGCATTAAAAGGACGTCGATCGTAGCATAGACCAATTGTCTTCGTGCGAATCTAAAAGTCCCTAATATCAAGTATAGACGACATGTCTAACTTAAATATTTGTTCATTCTCATGAATGCAACACCATTAAAGGGCAAACCAATCCTTGCAAAAATTATATTCATGCGAAAGCAGAAAAATCAGAGAAAAGTTTGAAATATATCGGACCAAAAGTAAGAAAGTTATGAATGTTTAAAATATGAGATCATGGCAGCTTTTTGTCAGTGTATTGTGACGTAGTGATGGACAACTCTTCCGTTTGTTGTGTACCAAAATATCTCTAACTTCTGTTTTTTTTCTCCCAAGTGCCTTCACCTTTGGGGTACTACTCAACATTTATTATGAAGAGTAGATTATTACAGGTAATGTATAAAGAAACCATCCCGAGTCATGCATTTTCGAAAATATTTTTGTCATTTTGTATGTTATAACAAATTTGAAAGTTGTCCGCCACTACATCACAGAAACATTCCCGATCCATACAAGTTCAAGAGCACATAGATAGGGGGATTGCATTTTCGAAACAAATTGAATGGAAGGGGATCGCTATAGTGCAAATTTGGTACGTTATCGTAAGTTAATATCAACGAATAAGGGTATGGCGGCTGGACAACATGACATATCCACAGAAACTTTGTGAAAATGGTAACCCGACCCATAGATTAAAAGAGAAATTTAAATGAGTATTATTTGTATGGCAAATAATGAGTTAAACTTCTAAAAGACACTATAATACACTATGTAGGTTCTGAGGCCGTCTATAATGCAAAGTTTCGGTATTGAAAAAGGAAAGTTGCTACGCTTTCTTGCATAATAATTTAATTGTAAAAACCCGTAGGTATCACATAATTAGAGGATTCATCAACGTTAGTAGAGTAATCAGACACCTTGGACTGTGAAGCTGCAACAGAAATTCCTAGATAGAATTTAGCATCCCGACGCACGCTTTCAATGATCAACCTTCGTAAGTTCTGCAATGTGAAGAGACCTACTGCTGCTGCGTGTGACGATGAGGTGTTATGTTCGAAGGACGGTCTAGCGCCCATTTCTTCTCGAATAGAGGACGTTGTTCTTACCTGTAAAGAAATGTCAGCATTCGATCAATAAATAAGACTTTCAATTAATATAATCAAAGATACCATGCTAATAGTTTAATTTGGGCAAACATCATTATAGGATGCATTCGTTTGGCGTAATTTTTTCACCATGTCTTCACCATGAGCCTAGATTCTGACAGTATTTATGTATGTAAATTGCATGGATACAAACACACATTCTAGTCATTATCTGTAATAAGTATACCTGAAAGGTGCGTAGCTATAAAGGTAGTTCCGGAGGGCATATTGAATATAGAACAAACTATATTTTCTGTAGTTCGTCTGGTTGGCTCAGCCTTTTATCTTTGTTTGGTTTTTGTTTAATATTGAAACAGCCATGCATTGTTACCTTACTCCTTTATTAGCAAGTCCTTTAAATTTATATATGAAGAAGAGACAAACGGTAACATGTTTGTCGTTCTCATGTGAGTCTGATTACACATTGCAACACAGCCCACTATAGTATATAATATCAACATGGCAGTTCTAAATGATTATGGGTCAGAAGGATGAAACAAGAATTTGATAAATGAAAATGAGATACATCTATAATTCTATTCACGGAACTTACTACTTCTGTCCCCATTTTCTCCAGTATGAAGAGATATGCGCCGATTGGACCATGATAATCTAACGTAAGATCTGCCTTCGTGTTCAAAAGATTCCTGACGGGATCAATGGCTTCTGAATCATGACATTCAAAAGCTACCTCAATGATGAACTCCATGTCATCAACTTTCTTGCATAGGGCTTCCAGGACCGACTTTCCTACTTCACAATCATGAGCTGCAGTGAAGTATAAGACATATCTGAATTCCTTGTAGTCTTCTAAAAGGGTATCTGCCAGGATTCTGTTGAATTCTTGACGATCTTTGTGGAACAGTGATGCAAGGTATAAACTCGCCATGTACTCCTGTAGTAGCTTATGAGGGAAAGAGAATTCTTGGAGGAATTGCTTTCGCTGACTTTCTCTGATTCGCAAGGGTGCTGGCCTTATTTCCTTGCTAAGAATCCCGACCTCGCATGCAATCATGGCAGCCTCCGTGCATGAGCCTAACGCTTCTTCATCGAAGATGAGCTGTTTAACCAACAGACCTTCAAAAGCGATACGACCGATCTCTTTCATACTACCACTAGCTTTGCTCATGCGGCTTCCATAACCCTCTTTATTTGGTTTGGAAGAGTATTGCTCTTGAAGTGAAAAGACAAGACGCTTCAAGAAATGCGAGAATGTTTTCATTGTCTGAATATTTTCCCGCCCAAGTGGCGTTTTCCACAGGCAACATAGCATACAGCAGAATATCGGGAAGGGTGCCATGTACTCAGAAAACACCTGGTTTGTATCAATGAGCTTAATGAGGGTCGAAGCAGACTGAAAGTCATCTATGAAAAAGTTTTTGATATATGTTGACATGTTTTGCCTCGTGAAGCCCTTAACCTTACCAAACGTGTAATGGTCATTAATCGTCATGTTGCTCTTGATCTGATCAGCTCCAAAAGGACGGGTTGTGATTACGACTGGGGTATCAATGAATCGTTCTCCTCTTACGATCGATACGATAGCGTCACTGTGATTAGGCTCTCTGATGTCGATTTGTGCCTCGTCTAGTCCGTCCAATAAGATAAGGACTTTTCTCTGATTATCCCTGATATATTCATCAACACCTTCCCCTTTTATTTCTGTTTCGTCTGGGAAATGGCCCATAACAGTATCCCCGAAGAATCTGCTCTCTGTGATCTCTCGAAATGATTCAAGAAACAGCAGATTGATTTCTTGAAGAATTTTACCCTCGGCCCAATCAAGAGCTATCTTAGCAAAGAGTGTCGATTTACCTACACCAGCTTCTCCAATGAAAGCTAATCGTGTTACAAAACCTGTCGTTGTTTCAGTTTTGATGACTTGAAACAACCCATCATAATCTATTGGCTCTTCCCTTTCCCCTCCCAATCCTAACATTAGGACGAGACTGACATAGATGTGCTGAAGCCGTGTCCGTGACCCGGAGTCCACAGGCGATGTTTTGACCTTAGCAAATTTCTTGCGATATCTATTTTTCAGTTGTTTCTTTAACTTAAGTATGGCACTTGTGTCACCTGGGGAAAGAATGGAAAATAGTAATATAAGTAATAACATTCGATACAGACTTCGTTGAATACACTGCCGAGGAAGTTGATATCGTATTGCTGTTTCTGTTTAAACAGGTTCTGGCTAAAAAAATGAAGCTCAGAATGTATTATGCATATACACCGATGGAACAGTATATGATAGATTAAAGCCAATGATCGTGAGACGATGCTTTTAAACATATTGTAAGCGCAATTTGTCCGACGTGTAATTATGTGTCACGTAGCATGGTGAATGCTGCCACAACGCAACATTTAGATGGAAACTAATCTATTTTGTATAATTTCATTTCAAATATTTTCCGGTGGTATGGAAGCAATTAAATTCGTTTTGTCAAAATTTCATATAATCATATTTCAGAAGAAAGACTTAATGAATTGTGAACATGATTCGGTTTAACATTTTATTTCAACATTTTAGAAAATGTTATGTTCGTGCATAAGATGCATGCTGTGATATCATTTTAATTTTTTGTTGTGATTCTCTCTGTATCAAATTGTAAGCATGAATGAAAATGAATGTAAAAATTAATATCAGGGATTGACAAAATTTTTCGTATCATTTCAAATTGCAGCACAAAAAAGATCGCAAATGACACATAAAAGGACTTTAGTTATTATGTTTTGTCTGTGGAACAATTTATTTCACGTGTTCTCGTAATCGAGTGTGCATAAAATTGTCTTATCAAGATATCAGGGGAAGTTAAAAGGAGCTGTTGAGAAAGAAGAATGGAAATTGTTTGAGAATGTGCACACAATTTGTAATGTAAACTTTTACTCAAACTAAGGACATGGTTTTCACTTATGGAAAGGAATCAAGTTGCTGTATAGGTATTTTCATATTAAATATCATTTATATTTGAGAAGCTTACCTCTTGTGCTGCTTGTGAAACATGTCTCCTCCACCTCTAATAGACTCGCCCTTTTGAGAGCTGCTCTGAGAATTGGGAGTCGCTTTGGTGGTTTTACCGTCTCTGCCCAGTTCTGAAGCATCACCACATTACCATGACTGGTCTTTCTATCTCCAGCCCAATTCGTTTGTAATGCACGGTTGATATCAGGATTCTGAATCCCAAGCGCGAGACCAAGTCTTGTTAAATCGTCATCATTTGATATGGCGTCTCCTACTCTAATGATGACGTCATCGCATCCACGCGTTTGACTCGATGCTTGACCACTAGAATATAACAAAATACAGAATTTAAGCATTGTATCCTTAAACTTAAGCTACCATCTAATCAAGTATCGGTTGGATATCACAAATTCCATATCAATTAGTAAATAATCAAACGAAATACTCTGGTCAGTTTTCAATTCCTTCCTGCTTCACCTTTCATGTTACCGGTATGTGAATTCAGTATTTAACAGAGTAAAAAATAGCCATAAAATTATCACAAATCTTAAACATTCATTTTAATAATACACCAATATGTGAGCTAGTAATATTCTTAGATTTAAAGGTACTTAGTAACATTGTGATGGTTGATTTCACAAATCTGTTGAATCAGGATGCAAAACACGTAAAATTATGTTTTTATGTATGGATTATCCAACTACGATGCCCCAAATCCGAAATTAATTCACGCAATATGAAGATTTTTAACAAAGTTCAACGGGTTTTCGAACGGGCGTCGATGTGCGGCGCTTCTGAATCTAAATTCTCCCAACCATTTTTGAATTTTCCCAACCGTTTTTCCATGAAAAAAAGACATAAAAACAGGCCATAAAAAACTGTCAACACTTTGTCTGGAACGGAATGTAGAGCCATTTTATTGCTTTGTGAGATTCCCATTCACGTAAAATATAATTAAAGTGTAATAATATAGTTGGGAGAATTAAGGAATCGATCGGATCAGTTTTTCCCAATTTGTACCATGAATAATGGTCCGTTTTCGCTCAAATTTTCAGATTATCTTTAATTGTACATCAAGCATTGAAGTCACTACCTTAGCACCACTATCTCTCATCTGAACAATGTTACAAAGTCCCTTTAAGGAACATTTTAATACTTTAGATATACTTAGTCATTTTGGTGGTGATTTCGATTAAATAGAAATATGAAGTATTTGAATTTAAAAATCCCCATACATTTAGACTGACAAGGAAATTTACTTTTTCAACTGCAATGTCGTTCTCGTAGGATTTATATTAAAATCCCTTAAGGGGCTTTCTTATATCCAATTGGACGTAGGTTTCGTTGGGATACATTCATATTGGGTACTTGATCACGATATTATAATAGTAGACCAGCCAACATTAGAAAAGCATATGATTCCAATATGTTCATTGAACCAAATGTATGACCCCATTCCAAAACTTCGTATTACCGTTAAGGAATTTACTATTTAATATGGTCAACTGTAGGGCCTATATAATCCTATCTGTTCCTAGTGTACTGATAACAAGAATCGTTGTATCTTGGAGGTTTGGTGTTGATCATTTCTTTCCCTTGGAGATTAATAAGGAATAACGATATATTGTTTATTTTCAATTCTTGTTTCACAGCAGGTGTCGACCATCGTTTATAGTTACTACCATTGGTTCATTCAGATGACATTTTAAGGAATAATAATCTGAACTACTCCAAAAAGTGATAAATGATCTTTAGTCATTGGCATTCCATGACCAGTGCACATTTAACAAGTATACATGTATCACAGTGGACCTATGCTTAACATATCTGTACCTTGTACTTGGCGTGTCATCCCTCGGGGGCTCGATAATTTCTTCAGGTTTCTTAGAAAACCTCTTTCCCATCGTGAAGGTATCTAGGCGGAGGAGAAACGTAAACATATAAATAGAGATACATAATAGAGATAGATAACCACAATCATGGTTTGTCTGGCCCGGGGCACAAGTCCTAAAAAATTGACCGGATGAAGAATATTCAAATGTTATCGATGTTTTTTTCATGGGGGCCTAATGACGAGTTATTCCATTTACCTGTTATTAATGAATGATCATCCATACTCAGAATCGAGTCTTTGTTTAAAGAGTGAATATGTTAATAAGCCGGTCTATTATTTTCAAACTCTCACTGCACCGGTAACATATATGTGACAAACAGTCGAGGTGCTTTCAAAATCAAATTGTTTCAGAAAAACGTATATGCTGGTCAATTTATATCAAAATTTAGAGTATGAGTCAAATATTATAGATACTTTTGAGAAAACTGCAAATAAAGTATAAGATCAAACTAGACTTTAATTCGTCACTTTGACGAATTAGGTGATACGTAGCTATTTTTGTATCATGAAAGTGTGCCGATGATGATCTAATGATAATATTCATTAAATCGATAATGACGATATTTGATTTGATTTGATTTGATTTGATTTATAAGTTTCTGCATCTTTTTCCTTTTTTTAATCATACAATTTCATGAACATAATATGGTTTGAAACAATATTTTATGTGTATATAATTTTAGACAGATAATAAACGAATTTAAGCAATTATATTGAATGCATAATTTTTTGGTTTTAAATGACGATTTTGTTTTTAAAGCTTTTTTGCCTTTATTCAGATCTTCATAATTATACAAAATGATGAATAGGAACACAATTGTTCTTACAGTATAAACATACATGTAGTACATTGTCTCATACATTTTAAACACAGACATATTTTCCATGAGTATCCAAACTAATAAAGTACACATTCAAAACAAGTGTACAGAATATGCTCCAATTCCTTTAAAAAGGAAAAGGTGACGGTAATACTTGGATACAACGATGACTATGATTAAAAGTGGTATAGCGCCCCCTTCAGGTATTCGATAGAGAATTGTTATATGATTAAACTATTAATTTACTAAACAAGCTCAAATTTTCGCCTGATTGCAGAGCCTACCTCATTGAACTGATATTTCGACGTACTACATACGCAACATAATGAACAAGTCTAGACTGGAATGTAGTATCAATCACCTCCCATAGGCATAACACGCATATTAAGCAAAAATCTGACATATGTCGCCTTTAATCGCAATTTTCACCATAATGACGTCATCAAAATGAATAAATATTGATAATAATCTTGTGAGGAATTGTCTCAGCTACAACATATCAAAATTCAGAAGAAAATTGATCAATGTTTGCAGAGATACATTCATTTTCCGTAAATATGCTGACGTCATAATATGCAAATTCGTATTTTGAGTTCCAAGGTCAATATGATTATGTCAAAATATACTTAATGGCCAAATGAGACATGGTATCATATCTCCGACTTATACTCTATCTAAATATAAAAACAAAATGAGGGTTCCTTTCCAACAAAAGAGCTAACATGGATTTTGTATAGGCATGTTTTTGCCAATATGTGCTACATGTATGTATTACAAAACTCGCGCATACGCCTTGAACAGACACTCATTCCGTTATTAATAGTGATAAAGAGATAAACATGGTATCAAATTGTTCGGACAAATATGAGGAATATCCTGTCAAAAAAAAATGACTGGTAAATTATTTTGCGTTTGGCTGTGACGGACGAAAACGCGCGAAAATGCGCGTTTGCGCGATTTTTTTATAAAATGCTTATAATGGCATGAAAAGTTTGCAAAATGAATTTGAGATGATTTGGAGCAATTAAAAAATTTACGCGCATGCGCGTTTTTTAAAAACTGATATTGATTGGACGGATATTGACCTTGATCATAATAAATATGAATGAGGAAAGACTTTCTGTTATGAAGATATGATCATGAGTTGATTTTCACAAAATGGCGCCTAGATGACGTCACGGTAATCTTGAGTCTCTAAAAAGTCACGCAGTTCTAAGTTAGACTAATATCTATTATCATTACAAGTTTCATGATAATAGCTTTATTCATTCTTGAGATATCTTGCGAACAAATTCGAGGAAGAATATTAATAAAAATAAATAATAATAAATAATAAAGAAAAATCTTGACGAAATCAAAAGGTGATACGTATATTTCATACGTATCACCTAATTAGAGCATTAAACCGCAAATATATTACAATGGTAAGCAATGTTAAACGAATAATGAAAAGATACGTTATAGTGCGGTATGGTATGTAATCCCGTAGGATTTTTGTGCCAAAGTTGATTTTTTGTTGTTGCTGTTTTGGATTCAAAAGGGTCCCAATTGACCAAAAATGATGTGGTTCAAATTTTCAGACCCCTCCTTCATTTCAATGGGGGTCCATATTGGGCGCGAAATGGCTTCTATAACGCGCATTAAGGAAATTTGGTGTCTTCGGGAAAATTTGCACCCCATCAATTTCTGATAGCTTGGACCCCAATGAATCCAAAAATGCAAAAAAAAAAAAAACACAACAACTTTGGCACAAAAATCCCACGGGAGCTGTTTCAGTGACATACCGTACCACACTATTAGGGATTTAGAAGAAACTCATGTATATTTACAAACAATTTTTCATTCGTGAAACTGATTCTTGGTATCAATATAAAACGTAATAAAATTCCTACAACATTTACACACAACATTGTTTGTGTTCGGGTAAAATCTTGAAACGAGCAAAAGCCCTTAGCATCGTTATCTTAAACAAACTTTAAAACAAAAAACAATTATTAAATAAAATTTGAAAACAAAAATCGGCTTCTTTCAATGTTCCGTACTTGTAAGGCTACAGTCTACATGACCAACAACGTCGGTGGTGTGTGCCATTCTACAATTTGTTTGAGGGTCTGCTAGACTTACGAGACATAAATATTCCTTTTATGTCCTATGTATTCATTTGTTTTGTTGCTCGTGTGCACTGTTAGACTATTATACTAGGATGACACATTTTACTAATGATATTTATGTGCATGTATTAGAATAGGATGTACTATTTCATTTATTTTTGTATAAATATGCGGACCTAATATACACTCGACTCGGTCGACTGGTCCAAAATATTTTTGAAAAGGCTTCTTCATTATTATAATTCTATTACTCCAATTTGCCAGCATAATCGTTGAATCATAAGAAATGATCCAGACTTCATTGGATATCAAAATATATATTGAAATGTATTTACAGAAGAAAAAAAATTATTATACAAATATGAAAACAACCCAAACGGTCTATAAATAATTGTAAATACTCTCTGTAAAAACAAGTTGACATGAATCGAATTAAATTATTTTTAGGGAGCTTGTGATGTTTCGTATCACACCAAAGCCAAATACCTTGCACTTGTTAAGGTATGTTACTAAATAATGTATCACTCTCCCATCAATGATAAGATTTATCGGAATTACTTACGAGAGTTAGTCAGGATCAGGGTTTCTTAAAGTTGTATGTCATTCTATTACGATGAGATTTTATTCTTTGTAGGTGGCTCTCGCTCCGATCAACAAAACCTTACAGGTAACGTGTTAAAAATGATATATTATACTCACTGATTACTTAAATCCTGCTATATATGAAAAATGAACCATGACATGAAGCCTTGAGTCCGCTCCTCATAAATATATATCAAATCATAGCCAGGTTAAAGGGTCGACACATAATCTTGCACAGGTAAAAAAAAAGTAACATGAGAGGTATATTCTAAAACGTGTCAAAAAAGAACAAAAGGCGTTTACAATGTCTCTTTCGCAAGATAAGAGAAGATTTTTTCTCTGTGTCATGGATCCGGCAATAGCACGAGGCCGAAATATGTGATGTGTGTGGAATAAAATGACTATGTCTCCCCAGACTACTTTTAACCAACTATTTTCTATTGGGAGGGGTGGGAGTTTTCAATACATATGAACTGCCATCGCATTTGTTTAATTTTTCTTTTTTGTTAAGGCTTGTCAAGTTGATGTTTCCCAGTCAGTATTTGACTTTATTTTGAATTTGTTTTTTCGATTTTCGTTGTATTGTAATTATTAGTAGTTATTAGGAGGCGCGGTAGCTCAGTCGGTAGAGCAGTGGTCTCGTTATCCGGTGACCCAGGTTCGAAACCAAGTCGATGCGCTAGTGCCCTTTGGTAAGGCATTAATCCTCATTACCAGGTCCCTCTGAGAGGACCTTAAGCCGTCGGTTTTCTGGTTGCTTACTTACAAGCATTTGTTGCTTTCTTAGCTGCCAGGTAAAATAACCACCACTATCAATTATACGCTAATTATTATGCTTTTAGACCTAGGCCTACTTTGTGCCATTTTTGTCCAGAACCACAATAACTAAAGATAAGTGAATTTATTTCTCAATTTGTAGTATGTTTTATTGTCTGCTTTGATTATAAGTAGTGACTGGGTAGCATCAGAACAAATACAGAACGAAAGGAAGCTTGCTGAAATAAAGTGTGCTCTGTGTTGGTTTGTGTAATTCGAGACTATCCGTCTGTCATGTACATTACAATGCTTGCACGTCGCTATATTCATACACGCAAATCTTATCATCAATGAAAACCTCATGCATTAATTATAAGCAGATGTGAGTGCATGGTTTTGTTGAATGCATACATAACAAGGCAAGCTAAACGTAACATAGTATTAATTTAAGATCATCGCTAAGATCTAAAGTTCTAAGAATATAAACACTTTATCTATCAAAAACAAAGCATATTGTTACAATCATTTCATGAAAAGAGGCAAAAACAACAAATTTGACCCAACTCTATGAGCAACAGAATATAATGATAAAAAATGAAAATAATAGTTAATCTTGCTCCTAATGACATACAAAATATTTATTTCTGACAGCCCAGCCTATTATTTTACAATGTACAAACACTGAGTTCTCTTTCTGTTCTAAAAGCACATACATAATATAGGTTAACATATTATGTCAA